CTCTGAACAGAAAGTAAGTCTATTATTACACATGTAAAGTTCCTTTACATAGATTAAAAGTTTAAAAGCATTAAACGTAACAAACGAGTGCTTTTACACTCGTATGGGAGAAGAACACAGAGGGTTGATGATGGAGCTGAAGTCAGGTTTTTATTGTGAGAGCTGCTTCATTCAGGTCGTTGTTTACTCAGTGGCACCTTAACTGTGGCGATATGCTGTTCAATATTCAGCCAATATGACCCAAAATGATTACTTTAAATCCGGGTTATGGGTCGGGCTGCGGGTCGTGTTTCAACGGGTCGGCCTGATCCGCGGGTTTGCGGTTCGGGTGCGGGTTTGTACGTCGCCGGGTCGGGTCGGGTCGGGGCGGATCTTGAAAACTGGACCCGTGCAGGACTCTGGTCAGGTGACACACAGGTGTCTCAGTTGACAGATAGGTGTGTCAGGTGACAGACAGGTGACAGCATGGATGGGATCTTTAACTGTGATCATCATGTGTCCACAGAGACGAACTCGTCCAGGTTTGGCAGTGGTTTCCTCTGATCGACCTCACACCTTCTCCACTCAGTGAGTACCTGACATTATCATCATCATCATCAGTATCCAGGTAGATTAGAATACCTGACCTACCTGTGACCTTCCTGTCCTCAGAGTGAAGCTCAAGTCTGATCCCATCAAGAGAGAAGGACCAAAGGTGAGTCTCACACACACACACACACACACACACACACACACACACACAGGTAACACAGATGGACTCACCCAAATGTTACAGCAGCTGATTTTCATCATCTGACTCATCATCAAGAAACCACCAGAGATATTCGTTCATTCATTCATTCATCAGTCCAGTAATGACCTACTGAATAATGTGTGTGTTTCAGTGGGATCCATCCAGACTGAACGAAGGTAGCACGTTTGTTCTCGGCTCCAGAGCCAACAAGTGAGTCAGCAACATGTAAACATTGTGTAAACATTGTGTAAACATGGTGTAAACATGGTGTAAACATCATGTAAACATCTTGCAAACATCTTGTAAACCTGGGGGGTATTCCATCAAGCAGGCTAAAGGCAAATCCAGGCTTAAATGGCCAAGTCTGGCTAATGTGAGCCAGAGTTCTGTTCTATCAAAGTGGCTAATATTAGCCTCACATCGGTAACCACGGAAACCATGGTTCTGGCTAAGCCTGATATATCGAGCTAAACTCCGGTTTCCGTTCCATCAAACTGAGCCACAACTCCGTTCCATCAAGGTGGTTAACCTGAATCCCAGCCTAGTAACCATGGTAACTTATGCTGCCGGGCAATCCTGGTCTGTAGCAGGATTAAGGTGAGGATTAGCTCCATCTATGATCAAAAAATGTTCAATAGACAAGAACAGACACCTAAAAGACAGTTCTGCCAGTGCTTTACACACTCACAACTGTCATGTGATGATAAAATAATATGTAGATCATAAAATATATAACATCATTAATAAAAAAAATTAACTACTAAAAAACAAAGTAAAATGTAATAAAAATAAGATAATTTAAATATAACAGTAAAGCCAAAATCAATTTAATAAAAACAAAATTATAATAAAATGAAACTGAGGCGTTCACAGGGGCGGTGTCGTACCTGCAGGGTGTTAGAGTCTCCGTCAGGTGTTGTTCACAGGTGTGGTGTCGTACCCGTGGGGTGTTAATCTTGACCCCACAGTTTTATCCAACTTTAGGCCTATCTCCAAGCTTCCTTTTTTTTCTAAGGTCTTGGAGAAGGTGGTTAATGAACAGCTGCAGTCTTTTATTGATCTAAATGGCATTTCCGAGAAGTTCCAGTCTGGTTTTAAGTCACGTCATAGCACAGAAACGGCGCTTTTAAGAATTTTAAATGACCTTCTTTTGACAGTTGACTCTGGTAACTCTGCGGTCCTGGTCCTTCTGGATCTGACGGCTGCCTTTGATACGGTGGATCACAACATTCTCCTGTCTCGCTTAAACACCTGTGTGGGCATTAAGGGTACTGTTCTTAAGTGGTTTCAGTCCTACCTCTCAGACAGGAGCTTCTCTGTCCAGCTGGGCCAGTATTCTTCAGCCAC